TCTTCACCTAGGTAAAATTACATGATCCATCATTGTAAACAATCCCATGCATAAACCTTAGCCTCCATTGCCCTCCTCTCACTTCATTGTACTAACTTGGAACAAAAACCTAGTTTTGGTAATTCCAAATTACCACATCTTCCGAGCCTACACCTTCTCTTCTCTCTTCAAATTTTTAACACTTCCTCTTCATTCTCATTTTAGTGTTCTGACCTTGCTTCCTCTTTCATTGACCAATTGAAGCAGTAAGAGAATTCTCACAGATTACTACTACCACATTTACCCACCACATTACTTGCATCTGTGCACGTATATTCTGCCTTCCTGCCTATTAATTACTGTTACTGCTCCTATCTAAAGCCAGTTCTTCTATTTGTACAATAGATTCCATTCCCTCTTGTTTTTGCAAGGATTTCATTCTAGAAATTCCTGCCTCTCCCACATCATCAGTTTTTCCCTTTTACTGGATCATTCTCAGCAGCACACAAATACACCTTTCTTTTCACTTATCTAAAAAATAACTTATCATAATCCTACTTCCCCTGCTAGATATTGCTCTATTCCTCTGCTCCCATTTGCAACAAAACTCCTTCAGAATTTTCTATTCGCTATCTGTGGATACTTTTCTCTCATTTTCTTTTAAGCTTACTTCAGTCAAGATTTTGCTCCCCTAATCCACTACTCCATAGATGCTGTTTTTGTCAAAGTCACCAGCAGTCTGTACCCTGTTAATCCAGATGTCAAATCTCAGTCTTTTTTCCCCACCATTTTTAAATACTCTCCTCACTTGGTTTTCAGTATATTACATGTCCTGAGTTTCTTCATTCTTCATACCTCCTTGGAATATTAATAATATATATTAGATGTAGAGACAGAGATAGAAAAATATATATATATATATATCTTTCTGTAAATGTATCTATATAATCTCCCATGTAACTACCATCTAAGTCAAAAGATAGGGGTGCCTGGGTGGCTCGGTCGATTAAGCGTCCAACTTCGGCTCAGGTCATGATCTCACGGTCCGTGAGTTCAAGCCCCGCATCAGGCTCTGTGCTGACAGCTCAGAGCCTGGAGCCTGTTGCAGATTCTGTGTCTCCTTCTCTCTCTGACCCTCCCCCATTCATGCTCTGTCTCTTGCTGTCTCAAAAATAAACATTAAAAATTTTTTTTTAAAAAATCAAAATATAGAACTTTTCCAGGACTCTTGTGCCCCCTAGTCAACACTCCCAAAGGTAACCACTCTTTTATCCTATATCACACATCAGTTTGCCTAATCTTGAACTTTGTATAAATGGAATCATATAGCATGGGCTCTTTTGTGTCTGGTTCTTTTGCTCAATATTCTATCTGTAGGATATACCTATATTTTTGTTTGTAGCAATACTTTTTACTGCTCTTTGGTATTGATTGTATGAAAATATCTACATATTTATTCTACTGTTAATGGACATTTGGTCTAGGGCTATCAGGAATAAAGCTGCTATGACCATTCTTATACATATATTTTGTAGGACATAAGCATCCACTTCTGTTGTGTATATACCTGGGAATGGAATTGCTGGGTTTTAGGGTAGGTGCAGGGTTTTTTTTCCCATAGATGTCACCAAACCATTTTTCCAGAGTGGTTTTAGTTTCCGGTTCCCTGATGACTTACTGATGCTGAGCCTCTTTTCTTATAGTTTGTATATTCTTTCTATAAAACGCCTGTCTTTTTCCTATTTTTAATTGGGTTGTTGAATGTATGTATCACAACTATCTTCCCCCATGTTGTGACTTGCTTTTTTACTCGTTTTTTTTTTTAGAAGTTATTAAAAAAAAGAAATCCAATCATTAGTATCCTCTTTTTTGGTTAGTGTTGTTTATGTTCTGTTTTAGAAATCTTTGCTTATCCCAAGGACCTGATGATATTTGGTCTAGGGCTATCAGGAATAAAGCTGCTATGAACATTCTTATACATATATTTTGTAGGACATAAGCATCCACTTCTGTTGTGTGTTTTTTTCCTAGAAGCTTTATCATTTTGACTTTTACATTTTGATCTTCGATCTGTCTTCAAGTAATTTTTGTGTATAGTTTGAAGCTGGCATCAGAGTTTATTTTTCCCCATATAGATATCCAATTGATTCAGTACTGTAATACAAAAGGCCATCATTTCTCCACTCAAATGCATTAGCACTTGTGTTGTAAATTTTATGACACTATACGTATGAGTCTGTTTGTGACCTCTCTATTTGGTTCACTGTTCTATTTGTTTCTCTTTGCACCACTGCTAGCTTAAATTATTGTAGCTTTATGGTAAGTCTTGGCTTACTTTGCATTTCCATATGTATTTTAAATTTATCTACCCAACTTTTAATTTTGGAATGCCCTCAGTATTTTAGTCCTATTTCCTCTTCTGTATTTGAACTCAGTCTCATGATTTTAAATACCACCTATTTGCCAGTGGCTTTCAGATTTGTCTCCTGTCCAGATATAAGTCTTTTCCTCTAGATTAGTACATGCAACTGTTTATTCAACATTTTGAACCAGATATCTTGATCAAGTTAAAGTCCTCATCTCTGCTACCTCCTCCCCCATAATTTTAGCACTCACATCTTCCTTTTTTTAAATGCAGGCCACACTTTTTGCTTGGGCTAAAAACCTTGGAGTCATCTCTGATTCTCTTCTTTTTTGTATTCCATATATGTTCCATGAGAAAATCCAATTGGCTCTACTTTCAGATATACCCAGAATCTAGCCAATTCTCATCATCTTCATTGCTATCACTCTAGGATGAGCTGTCATGTCTCCTAGATTATTGCAGCAGTAGCCACTTAAATGGTTGCCCTATTTTCATCACTGCACTTTGTTTCTATTCTAAATATAGCAGCCAGAGACAGACATCGTTTTAAAACTTGAGTCATACCATCCTGCTTTTCTGTTTAAATTTTTCTACTAGACTTTTATTTCACTCACAGTAAAAACCAGTCTTTATGGGGGCCTATGTGACATTTTGTAATATCCACTCATTATAATCTGTAAATTGTCTGACCTGCTTCCCCTTCTTCGCTGTACTCCAGCATTCTGGTCTTCTGAGTATTTCTTTTATATGCCAAACATGGCTATTCTTTCTCCCTGGAGTGCTCTGCATTCATTAAGCACATGCCAGATCCTTTAAGCTTTTTATTATATATCATCTTCTTGTTTGACCACCCAATTAAAATTGCAACCTGCCACCCATCCCTACCATGTCCAATCGTATTTACCCAGGTGTATTTTTTTCTATAAACATAACATGTTTTGATATATATGTATATGTGTTAATAATTTATTACCTTCATTGTTTATTATCCCTTTCTACTGGTAGAATGTGAGCACCATGAAGGCATGAATTTTTGTCTGTTTTCTTTTTGTTTGTTTTGCCTGTTTTGTTCTGTTTTGTTTACCAGTATACCACAGACACCTAGAACAGTATTCAGCAAATAATAGGCACTTAGCAAATATTTACCAAATGAATTGATTCTAGATATAGGCTTCTCTAAACTACACTGTTGGGTAGGAATGTTGTCCCTTGGTACAAACTTTTTTAGAACCTATCAAAGAAGGTAGATGTATCCCTTTGAGTAAAATTTGTTTTTCATTATGCTTCTCTCTAGGTGACAAAGGTGATACCTGCTTCAACTGTATTGGAACTGGTATTTCAGGGCCTCCAGGTCAACCTGGTCTGCCAGGTCTTCCAGGTCCTCCAGGTAAACATTCTGCCTCAGGACAACCTTTTAAAAATATTACTTGGCTACATTTTAGTGAGCTCATAGTTTTATAATGATGCCAGTTTCTCAATTGATAGCAACTCACTCATATCCACAAATAATTGAATATGAAATGCCTCTATCTGCTATGAAGTAGATTATTCTCTTGTTTCTAATATCTGAAGCCACCAATATCTTTTATTAAAGCATTTTGACAATATTATTCCAAGAAAAATATCTTCCCTGTTTTCCATATGGTGAGGAAAATAGCTCATACAGAGTCAGACTTCTCTCTTCCAAAAAGCTGGGGAAAAAGTTCATAATGCCTGGCCCCTGAGTATAGTTTCCAGTGGCATAGCTTCTAGTCTTCACGGATGGATCACATGTTGTCATTAAGGGATGGGGCTTCTGTGGTAGTTTGGCAACCAACTGCCAATATTCCTCTTTCTATATATAACTCTTCCTTCCCTGTTTCCAATCAAAACTATATTTGATATCCATCAGACCAACAACTCTCACTCAACTGTCTCTTGGGATATCCCAATACTATACTTTCTTGAAATTACACTTTATGTTTGTGTAAGGGCTGAGAGTAGATGCCAGATCTCTTACCTTTCTGTCTAGTATGTCTGCCAAAGAAACCAATTTATTTAGCACTTGGAAATAGATTTTGAGCAGGTCTTATAGCTGCCACTGGAAGTTAATAATCTAGGCTTGTACCTCTAGTCTAGTGTTTTTCAAACTTGGGAGGACATCAGAATCACCTGGAGGGCTTGTTAAAACCAGATTGCTGGGTCCCACACCCAAAGTTTCTGATTCAGTGGATCTGGGGTGGTGGCCCAAGAATTAGCATTTCTAAACAGTACCTAAGGGATCCTGATACAGCTGATCTAGAGACCCATTTTGGGAACACTGCTTTAGTAGTATTTCCTCTAGTCTTTGAGCACCAAATGTTTCTCTTAATCCAAATTTTATGTAGTGATGAACCAAATGAAGGACTCAAAAGGAACTGGGGAAATGGTTTAGATCAGAACAAAGAAAGATATGCAGACTGTGTCCTTATCTCTTTCTCCCCTTAGCAATAAGATGGTTACAGGATGGTTACTCCTGTAACCAATTAGCAATTGGTAGCTGTGAGCTCTGAGAAGCTTTGTAGTTGGAAATACCTAAGGATACAATATCGTATGTAACATGAAAAATTAGATTCACATAAAAGAAAGGATGATTTGCTCATTTTTTAATATTTATTTATTTTTGAGAGAGAAAGAGAGAGAGCGTGCATACAAATGGGGGAGGGGCAGAAAGAGAGGGAGACAGAGAATCCGAAGCAGGCTTCACCCTGTCAGCGCAAAGCCAGATATGGGGCTCAAACCCACAAACCATGAGATGTGACCTGAGCCGAAGTCAGAAGCTCAACTGACTGAGCCACCCAGGTGCCCCTGATTTGCCCATTTTAAGAGGATAGCATAGGAAAATTAAACTGTGACTTGTTAAATGCAATTGAATGGGATTCTTATTTTAAAATTTGATTTGCTGATTTTTATATGAGCTTTGTCAGGGGCTCAGGGTCAAATTTCACATTATTATGTGTGTGTGTGTGTGTGTGTGTGTGTGTGTGTATTAGGATCTCTTGGTTTCCCTGGACAGAAGGGAGAAAAAGGACATGCTGGTCCAACCGGTCCCAAAGGATTAACAGTAAGTTTTGAGTATATCATGGCACAACAACAAAAAAAGTGGAAGAAATCCAGTTACACTTTGTTTTTCACTTTTGGATATATATAATAAAAGGCATTTAGTGTTTCTTTTAATTTGTGTTGTTTTTTATTCCTTGAGTCTCCCTGACTCACATGCCTCACTTTGTTCATAGCTTTGTATACACTAAATGTTACTGGGTGGGTTGGTGTGATGAACTGGAGACAGAAAAGTGTTAGAAAAAAGAAACTGATTTTTTTCTCTTCTTCTTTTCTCCTTCTTTCTTTTTTCTTCCCTTAGGGCATACCGGGAGTTCCAGGTCCTCCAGGCTTTCCTGGATCTAAAGGTGAACCTGGTGACATCCTCACTTTTCCAGGAATGAAGGGTGACAAAGGAGAGTTGGGTTCCCCTGGAGCCCCCGGGCTTCCTGGTTTACCCGGTACCCCTGGACAGGATGGACTACCAGGGCTTCCTGGCCCCAAAGGAGAACCTGTGAGTTGGTTTGATAGTCTTAGTTCTGTGATGCCAAAATGTTATTTAGGGTTGTTTCCTAGGATGGTCCTGGTGCTAAGATGAACACCCAGTTAGTGCTTAAAAGAGTGTCACTATATATAGTAATGGTACATTGTTATTGACTATGTAGTGTTTCTTTACCACTCTTTTCTCTCAATTGTTTTATAAATTCCTTCTTCTTAATCCATTACTATATTGAGTAATATTGGCTACGAATAGGTGGGCAGGAGGTTAGGATGCCTATGGGTCAATGGGAGGTTCCCCTTCTCTTATACTACAAATCTTTGTCTAGGTTTATTTGGATCTGAGAACAGAAGTCGAATTTGGTTTTATATATAGTAAGCTTAGAGATTACTGTGAGTAGATGGCCATGTGTTAGCTACACTATAAACTTCTTGACTTATTACTAGACTGTAAGCTTTATGAAGGCAAAGATTTTTGTCTATTTTTGTTCTTTGCTGTATCACCAGCCCCTGATACATAGTATGGGTTAAAAAAAATATATATTTGTTGAAGGAATTAATGACTAAGTGGAATGATCATACATACCATCCCATAATAACACACACTTGTACAGCTTTTAAGAACTATTTATGGCTGTATCATTTCTCCAGTTGTATTCAGTAATACCAACATACCAACCTATATCTGTATGTTTCTTTATTAAATTTTTCCCTTTTCAGGGTGGAATTGCTTTTAAGGGTGAAAGAGGCCCCCCTGGGAATCCAGGCTTGCCAGGTCTCCCAGGGAATAGGGGGCCTATGGGCCCTGTGGGTTTTGGCCCTCCAGGCCCAATAGGTGAAAAAGGCATACAAGGTGTGGCAGGAAATCCAGGCCAGCCAGGAATACCAGGTGAGTTTACTATCGTTGTTTCATTTTTAATTTGGTGCTTAAAAGCAGAAATGTATTGGGGTGCCTGGGTGGCTTAGTCAATTAAGCATCCAACTTTAGCTCAGGTCCTCCTCTCTCAGTTTGTGGGTTTGAGCTCTGTGTCAGCCTCTGTACTGACAGCTAAGAGCCCGGAGCCTGCTTCAGATTCTGTGTATCCCTCTCTCTCTCTGCCCCTCCCCTGCTCATGCTCTGTCTCTCTCTCTGTCACTCAAAATAAATAAACATTTAAAAAATTTTTTAAAGCAGAAATGTATTATCTTTTGGCCACTCTTGGCTTCCTTTCATGAGAGATGTATTTCCCTGGCCATTTATATTTGGGTTTTTCAGAGCTCCTTAGCAAGGGAGCACATTGTGTGTGTGTTTTCTAAAGAGGAGGAGGTTTCCTCTTTAAATTTCCTCTGACAGTCTTCATTGTTATTGTTGTTGTTTGTTGTTTTTAAATACATGGTACATAAAGTTTAACAAATAATTATAATGGAATTACATGTGTACCTACCACACATGTCAAAAAACAGAACATTGTCATCATCCTAGAAATGTCCATCCTTCTCTCTCTGTCCTTTCCTGATCATAATCCCCTTGCATTTCTCCTAAGGTAAACAGCGTCCTGACTTTTGCACAGTTTTCTTCCATTTGCCCCCTAGTTTTATCACCTAGATATGGATCCCTAAACAAAGTACTTTAATTATGCTTCTTTTTGAACTTCTTAATAATGGAATCCTAGGGTAAGTATTCTTTATATTAACTTTGTGTATAGCTGTAATACATTCATTTTCATTGCTGTATAGTATCCCATTGTGTGTGTGTGTGTGTGTGTGTGTGTGTGTGTGTGTGTGTGACAGTTGATTTATCCATTCTGTTGTTGATGAACATTTGGATTATTTATACTTCTGGCCTACAATGAATAATGCTTCTGTGTACATCCTTGTGTGTGTGTGTGTGTGTGTGTGTGTGTGTGTATACATACATATATGTATATTCATTCTGGTAAACATGTGCATGTACTTCTCTGAGGCTAGAGTCAGTAAACTACAGCACATGGTTCAAATCTGGCCCATTGCTTGTCATTAATGAGACTTTTATTTGAGCACATCTGCACACATTCACTATTATCTGTGGTTGCTTTTGTATTACTACCATAGACTCAACATTTTGCAGAGTTAAGTAGTTGCTACTGAGATCATATGGCCCACTAGCTGGCCCTTACCAGAAAAATTTTGCCAATCCCTGGGTTAGGGTATATCTTTAAGATGAGCATTCTCAAGGCATAGAATAAATCCATCTTCAGCTCTACTAGATAATTCTAAACTATGTCCAAAGCAATTGTACCAATTTCACCAGCAGTATTGGAGATTTCTTACTCTTCTACATTCTCATAAATATGTTCTATTGTCAGACTTTTTGCATTTTTTCAGTCTGCTGAGTTTGATATATCTCGTGACAGTTTCATTTTACATTTCTCTGTTTACATTAAAGTTTAGCACCTTTTCATATGCTTATTGACTGTTTCAATATCCATTTGTGAAATTCCTATTCAAGTATTTTTTTTTTTTTTTACCATTTTTTTCTACTGGATTGTTTCTCTTTCTTACTGATTTAGCTTTTTTTTT